ATTTTTTAAAAGATAACAATATTATTATTACTATTGTTTTGTTTTGTGTGCCTTTTCATTAAGGCACTGATGATTAAGTTAACGAAATTATTATTACTATTATTGACTTCCATGCTCATAAATTTTTTCTACGATAAATTTACTAAATAGACCTTGGGATAATTTTGACCTGTTAATCTATATATATATATATATATATATATATGTATGTATATATATATATATATATATATATATATATACGGTTTATGTTTAACATGAATTTGAAACATGAAAAAATTGAAAATTAGCCGATTAATTAGCTTTCATAGTTGGAAAATTCACTATTTTGTTAAAGCCTCGAAAAAGTTTCCAGTGTAAAAATGAATGGATATTATTGGTACATTAAATTTATCTTGCCAGAGAAAACAATAACGACAGCAACAACAGAGATGTATGATCAAAAGAAAATTCTCTTACCTTTTCTAGCAGTATCAATCAATCTCACTCATCCATAAATATAAAAATGTATAGAAATATATTATTTATATATTTTTTAAATTTATAAATGTCGTTATATAAATTAGACATAAAATAAAAGGTTTATTTCAACGTACGTTTACTTTTTTATATAATTAACGTTAAATATTTTATTGAAATAATGAATTAATATATATAATATATCTATATATATGCTACAAATGTTCGCATGCACAATGTTTTTTTATTCATTTAATACGTACAACTTCTTTGCTACTTTATTTTTGTAGGAAGATGGTCATGTATTAGCAATAATTTTATCCACTTTCAGTTTTCATCCTTATCTATATATATATATATATATATATATATATATATATATATGACGCATGCATGTATGCATACACGAACGAACTTACACCCACAATTGGGTATATGCATATACATTTATTTATTTAGTTATTTATTCGTAAATCAATATTGAGGCAAATTTATTTCCTTCTATGTTTTATCTACGTATTGAAAATGCTCATTACTGTACGATCGTATTTTAACAATATATTTTGTCGTATAATATAGTTTACTAAAGAATTCTACTCACGCTATTAATTTATGATAAGAGAAGGTGTTTGGCAGGCGTACAGATGTGTAAATAGAGAAAAGTTAACGATATAAATTTGATTCTGTGTTTTACCAAATTTTTCCATCACCTTTTTCTTTAATCGTTTTACTGCACCTTTATCTGTGTTGTTGTTATTATTATTATTATCGGTCTATTTTAATTTGACAACAAATTTGTATTATTGTCATTGTGATGTGTGTTAGAATGTTAACATAACATGCTTTTCAAATCAGTTCACCGCCGTTGAGTCTCGTCTGTGAGCGTGGTAAGAAACCACCTGATGACAATGACAAAACTTCTGATAGGGTCCTTTGGCTGGTTATTCAGAAGACCGAGGCATGGCGATCTCGATGTTTGCTAATCTTATATTGTATCTTATTTGAATAAATTAGTGTCCGGACTCGAAAGATATTGAAAAGCATACAAATAAGAGCGAGATCGCCATTCGTTTCTTGATTCAGACTATCCTGTGCTGAGAATATTATAATAGGATTATTATGATGGAAATTTATTAGGATGATAACACCAGAGTGGGAACATAAGGAGGGGATTAGCCCTCCTTTTCGTGATTCCTCTGATCAAAATCTATTCTTGTAAAATATTTACACATATTTTTTCCGTTAGGCATATATATATATATATATATATATATATATATATATATATATATATATATATAAGTTGGTAATAGACCATAATTTTTACAATATTCTATAAATTCTACCGAATGTTTGGCGTGTTTGTAGTTCGTTTGTAATATGTAAACGAACTACAAACATATTAACGCCAAACATTCGGTAGAATTTATAGAATATTGTAAAAAATATATATATATATACACACACTTAAGTATATATATATGTGTGTGTGTATATATATATAAAATGTAAGTATATATATATATGTCTGTGTGTGTGTGTGTGTGTGTGTGTGTGTGTGTGTGTGTGTGTGTGGGCATGTGTATATAAAATGTAAGTACGCACATGATCGTAGAGAGCCTAATAGAGCACAATCATCTAATTTGCAACCGGTCAAGGAATGATTGCTCGATGGTCTATTTTGATGGAGGTGCATTTTTCATTCTTATGTGTGTTAGATTACATTCTTATCTCACCTGTTTTTGTATTTTTGTACCTTTTTTTATTACATTATATTTTAAATTAAATTTTTGTTTTTTTTCAATGTTTTATTTGCAACCGACAATTCAATCATACGAATGAAATATATCCGATTCAGTTATTGATTTAGAAAAAAAATTGTTTAAATTTATAATTGATAGAGCTATCTAAGAATTTAAAACTAATATTTTATGTTTTGTTATAGCAACAGATTTATTTAATGCTTATTTCATAAATTGATTGAAACATTTTAGTATCCATACATATATATATATATATATATATATATATATATATATATATATAATACGTTTATATATTTTCTAAAAACCGCTGTGTTTGTCATTTTAATTACGAAACATTCAACTGAAACTAGTTATAACAACGTTGTTTCAAACACACACACACACACGCACATACAGTACAGCAAAACACTGTTGATATATTTTTTCTTTTATGAATAGATTTTTGAACTTATCCTTCATTAGTGTCATTTAACGCATTTTAAAATAAAATTTTCGCTTATTAGTCACTGTTAACGATTCATTTTGTAAAATACCTGCGTTGCATGTATAAAAAATAAAAAACTTTTTAACTTGTTTCGTTTTTTTAACTTTTTTCCTAAATAAACATTTAAAATTTGATATTTTTTTATTGACAGATACGTAAAAATATATTGCTACGAGAGTAGCTAAATCCAAAAGTACTCGATTAATCATGAGCTTCTATTAAAATGTAAATGGAATCATTCAAACAGTAGTGCTCATGGTTCAGAGAATCTTCCAGTTTTACAAATGTCTCCGTGCCAAAAAGTGGGTTTTTGGAGTTCGGGCTGGGTTTTGATAAAGATTTTTTGTCTTTTACCTAAAAAGCAAATATTTTTGAATAAAATAGTTTTCTATGAGGATTCGAAAAAAATTTTGTGCCCACATTCTTAGGATTCAGCGTGTAAGGTAGATGGTTCCGATTATCGATGTCCATGCATTGATCCAACAATGTCAATGTTATTATTTGTGAGAAAGGCCAGCTGAGCAGATCATCGTATTCACCAGGACATATTCTTGCATGCACTGACATGTATTGCCCTTGATCTGCAAGTTGACAAAATAATCATCATATTTGGTCGATGGCGTTTAAATTCGTTCACTAACATCTTCCTTCGCCATAAAGGGAAGTGATGAACTGAAGCCGATATCCTATTCTGCTTGTTGATATAACAGGACTTTTTATTTCTTCGTGACTCACTTTTTGCGCATCTTTAAACGATTGCTTGAAATTTCCTATTCTCCAAAAATATTGCCTCTCATAAAGATACGACAAAATTCTAGACTTTTTCTTAAGGTATGCAATTTGTTTCAACATGTAGAGTTCTTCTGCTTTATCATCGACGTAAGCTGTAGCCGCCTTAACAACCAGATCCATGTGCGTGTTCACACATTCCATTTCATGCTTTTCTTTAGCTTTTTTATTTCCCTAGTTTAAAATTAATTACACCTCTATAATTTTAAAACTGCCTAAATGCTTGTTAAAAATGAATAAACAGAATTATTTTTCTCAAATAACCTTGAAGTTGCAGCCGGCACCACCAAAGACACAACTTGACACGTGAACAGAACAATCTATTTCAAAATGACCTGACAACTTAAATAATTTTTGAAATAATGTCTCAATCAATCAGATGGACGTCGATTAATTGTCTCAACTCACCTCTTTTCTCCGAAAACCTTCTTTTGAAATGAAACCGCAGTTTTCTGGACAATTGTATAGAATAGTTTCTGCACATTTTTCCATTTTATGCTCGTTTAACTTGGGTCGCTTAACTTTCATGTGACACATATCGCATTCGACAGGTGCATTTTTGCATTCTTTCAAATAATGATCCTTCATATTGACGGCTAATATTCCATTCATTCCACATTCAAATTCACATGGAATAGCTTTGTATAGGCATTTTTCTGAATGAATCTTTTGTGAAAATTCATGCTTTTAATTTTAAAAATCTAACAATTTTGCCTGTTTAGAAGTGAACTAACCATCAATGAATTTTGAACGCCGTTCCAAGGACAGCCCTGAGCAGCATTAAAACATTGAACATTGATTGAATGAACTTCTTTTTCCAATATTATGTCAGGGATTACCTGCAAGTTAAAAAAAGTGAAAGTTTATTAAACTCTTGATAATTCATAAAATTAATATAACCAACAAATACAACTAATCTTACAACCATAGCAGAATGAAAATTTACAATGTTCGAACATTGTACCGCACATTACATACTTATGTGTGAAGCACTAACGCTTACTAAGTACCTTTTTACTGTCGAGTTCATTTTGATCAACAGGGCAACAAGGATTATTGCTGTATTACAAATGATAATAAAATATACTTAAAATAACAAGACTGAAAGTATTCTTTAAAAATATAATCTAATGTTACTTCTTGAGAAGAATGTTCAAACATTCCTCGCATGCTCTGTGACCGCAAGCTCCAAGCAATTGAGGAAATCGAAGCAGACCATAGCAAACAACGCAGCTGTATGTTTCTAGAAGGTGCTTCTTCAACGGATAGATTCGTTTCTTTTTGTTTAAAAACACTGTTAAACTTTTTTCATACTCGTTTAACGCCATTTTAAAGCCACTTTAATATGTAATGCGTTTGAAATGCAGAGAAAAATTTTTTTCATTGGCATGTACATAAGTAAAATTTCAATAGCTGCAACATTTCTTCAATGTTGACACGTGTTGCTTAGAAACTGGCGTCATGCCTTGAAATGTATAAGCAGTCATCGTGTCAACGTTATCTTCGTCATCGTCATCGTCCTCATCACTGTAATCATTGTCGTCATCGTCATCGCGGTCTGGATGATTACTGACTATGACAACGCATGAAATAATTTCACTAACCGTCGTCATCTTTGTTACCACCATCACCACCACCACCATCATCAACACCATTATCGCCATCGTAATCATCATCATCTTCATGTGTACTAATCACCATGGTGAAAACTTAACTTTTGATTCGTAAAAAATTAATTTCTTAATAATGCTTGTCATCTGTTTGCAAGTAGTTTGAAACATAAAATGAAGATTATTTATTTTGGTTAATAAGTTCAATCATATTGAAAATCTTGAAAATTTGTAATACACATGAATAGGGGATTAAGTATTTGTTTGATGGTGCAAAATTTTGCTCCATTTGAAATCAGCCACATTCAATATTAGCGAACGCATCTACTGCAATTTTGTCCGGACTCTATATGAAGCAACAGCGTTCATTTCTTGATTCTTGAGTAAGCAATTTAACGCCTTGCATAATTATAATCTATCGCTTGTTTTCTTTCAAAACGTAAATGCAGTGATACACACACATTTACCGCCGCGATGCAATAGAGAAGGCAGACTTTCGTGTTTATTTAATAAATAAAACAAAGATGAGCGTTGATAAACTATTACAAAATTTGCTTGAATTTCACAATTGTAACGTGAAACTTCATTAACATCACTTCATTAAAAAACTGGAAATAAAACGTACAATAATCTTTATATTATTTAATCTGATTGTAAGGGTAAAGGATATAGCTTCAACCAAAACAGCAAATAACCGGTAATAAGTTCACGAGTTTGGAATACTTGCTTCCTAAGCAAGAACATTTTTAGTTTGAAAACAAATAAATAATAAGCAAGATCGTTAATACGTTTTAGTCTGCCAGTTGTTTGTGCTGTTTACTTTTTTCTATAGCATTCGTCTTTCACTTTGTTTCGACCTTTTCGAAATAATATACAACAAAGTTAATTATATTATTTAAAAGTTCAAATTATTGGAATAATAATTTTCTGAAAATTTTGGTGAGCTCACTGTTCAACTTGTATTTATATTAACACGCTTTAATAAATCAATAATAAACAATGAAGCAATCGTTGAATTTTTTATCATGAGTATGGGATCCTTTTTAAGATAAAAAGTATAATTTCAATCAGTTGATATTTTGAAAATGGTCGGAAGTTTGTCAGAAGTTCCAATCCGTTTGTACCGCCCATCGACGACAACTCCGTGGGGATTCAGATTGCAAGGAGGAGCAGGCACCAACTTGCCACTCTCCATCCAGAGGGTTACTCACGTTCAATTAAAACTTACCAAAATAATTTAGATATTCTCATACAAATCACATCCACGTTGTGCACACATTTGAGTGGTAAGCGATCAGCAAAATTCGTATATTAAACATCATGGTATCTAACGTGAACTCTGAACAAACAAATATTGGATTCGAGTGTCGGTAAATTTATAAGCTTTGTTGGAATGTTTTCATTGATCTCTGTTATAAATTTTTTATTTAATATCTTTACCCATATTGGTGTAAACGAAATCTGAACATCTTCATCTGTTCAATTGGAAGGTTTTCGCTGGCGGCACTGCTGATGGTCACCTGAACAGAGGAGATGAATTGGTTGCCATAGACAATCACGATGTAACCGGCGCTCCTCACTATGTAGCGGAAGATTTAATTAAACAGGCTGGTCGTGAACTTTTATTAATTGTGAAAAGGTCAGTATCTACTAATTGAATATCTGCAAATTTAAAAATTAGCGTTAAAGCGTCTTGAACAAAGTCTGATTAATGAAATTAAATAAATTGTTTAGGCAGTCAGCCGCTTTTAGCCCACACGCATCTGAAAATCAAGTAAGTTTATTCAGCCATAATATAAACAAGCTAACATTAATCTTTTTAAAAACCCTTAACTTGCATCTGTTTAGTTTACGCATTATCCGTTTGAACTACAAACTGGCGGTCTAGAAGAATATGAACATGCCAAAAACATAAACCAAATAAAAGAAAAATTTTCAACGCCTGACGAAGGTTGTTTGTGCATTTGTACGGCTAATTCAAATTAATATTTTCAAAAAATGTTACATTTATTAATTTCAACAGACGTAGTTCGAGGCAAAATTCAAATCAACGCCAAGCCTGGTTCAACATCTTACATACCTAAAAAGCCCAGAATGTTTCAAAAAATCAGCCAAAATCAAAACGCTCCAGAATTTGGATGGGTACCAAAACCGAAATCTCACGAAGATATCAAACCCCCATCTCGTTATCAAAGTCAAAGCCAACCAGTCGTCAGACAGGTGCTCTCAAGTAAGATTTATATTGTCAGTAAAAAACTTAATTAGGTCTTGTACTTGTAAAAAAAACTTACAGATGAAGAAGCTGTCTCCTCATATAACAAACCTCTGCAACAAGTTCCTCACGAACAGTACGAAAGACCAGCTTGGCTGGGAACACTGCGTAGTGCGGCAGGTCCTAAACCATGGGAAGTTCAGGACGGAGCGGCTTTATTGGGAATTAACCCAGAACCCATGCCTAGCCAACCAAGTCATTTTGAAGCGCCCGTAGCTTCTGGACCATTTCAGCCACAAATAGCCAGACCAGTATATGTTTTTTTTGGTTATCTCAATCTAATATCTAATGAACATGACTTTACTAATAAACACTCATGATATTTTTCAGACGGCAATAAGCGCCATTCATCAGCCAAAAGTTCAAGTGACAAAATTCAGCCCACAGGGCCATCCAACTTACGAACGAAAAAATGCTTCTAATCATGATTCAGATACAGCTAGAATTGCTCATTTGCAATACAATTCACCAATTGGATTATATTCTCAAGAGAATGCGAAAGAAGTACTTGACGTGCAAACAGGGGGGAAACCAGGATCAGGGACGCTACGGTTAGTTTACCAATATACAGTTTTTGCTCATATGGTCGCGGTCAGTTAAGTCTGTTCCAGATAAACATAAATAATAACCTATCAAACCGTCTACACTTTTCAGCATTATCGGAAAAGGCCCAAACCTCAGTTCATTTGACCCGATACACTCTGACGTGTACAGACTAGTGAGAGAAGAAGAAACTGCCAGACGTAGTAGACAGAAAACTCAACAAGCTCCACAACACAACCATCCACATGTTCAACACGGGCTGCCGCACGAAGATCACAGAAGCGCAAAACTCGAACAGCTGATACATGAGAATGACGATCAGAAACTAATGTATGAGGAGCATGTGTACAGTCAGCAACATCCACACAGCAGCGGAATATCAGACTTCTAAAACTATACTGGAAATCAGAAGCAATTATATCTTTACGACAAATTTCAAATTATTTTCCTAAAGTTATGTTTCAGTTTCGATCGCATTAAGTGTGAATTTAACAAAGAAAATACTTAGTATTAGCGCGAGATAAAGTTTCATGTTCATTCATATATGTATATGCATTAATATATTATTGGAGTATATTTAATGTAAATATTTATGCAAATTGTTATATAAACACACATTTTGTTTATATATATATATATATATATATATATATATACATACATTTAAGGTGCAAGCTTACGGAGAATCCTTCTTTATATTTTCATTGATACTGTTTTAGAGAAAGCAGGCCAGGAGACAGTCAGCAGGCAGAGAAGAGCAGCTTACTGCTATTTTCCTTTATATACAATTAAAATTAGTAAACAAGCAATACAAGTAAAATATTCATACCTTTGAAAGGTGGCGTATTACAAAAAAAAATAAAAAATTTCCACAACAGCAATCCAATCTGAATTTTGAACTTGGGCTGCAACACAAGGAAGCAACTTTTCAAAGTGAATGATCGTTATTTCATATGCAGTATCGGTAATTACTAACACAATCCACCAACATGCACACACGCGCATATATTTAAATGAATTTCATAATTGTTTTGCAGTGATATTAATTAAATCAAGACGAGTGTGCCATATACAAGCAAAAGATAATAAAATATGTAAACAATGACAAAAATTTACATTATGTTTATTAAATTACATGTTAGACCAGATAAAAACAATATTTATGTTTTCTTAATTTATAAGTTGCAATTTTTGAAACATTTTACAAATAATGTTTTTAGAAGTGAATTAACATTTTCCATAAAAATAACCTAAAATACCAATTAGTAGTAGCTAAAGCCACCGTATATAATCTTTATTGGGCTCCAGATTAACTTTCAACCACCATATGCCACAACAAAAATTAAGCTGAACATCATTACCTATACCAACTAAATAACCTCTTAAACTCATTTTCTCAGAGGCTATGTATAATATACAACCACATGATTGAAATTTTTTTCAATGTTATTTTTATCACAAGCCAAATTTATCTCTGAATCCGAAACACATGTGCAAGTTATAACACACGTGAATTTGTCCCATTTTATGAGTACATTAAAAAAATGAAATGTAAACACTATCACAACAAAACTATTGAATGGCTGAATTGATTACATATCTCAAAAGTGAATATTCAATTAGCAATGAAATTAGTTGCCATTACAAATAAGTGGTTTGAAATTAAAAAAATTGATATAATTAAAACATGTTATTAGCAATTTTAATTAAAATAAATATATACATTTACATATATATATATATATATATATATATATGTATGATAGTTACATAGCATATTTCCCAGTCCATTCTTTGGCCAGTTGGTTGTATCTTGTGCGGTCTGTTTTGTACAGTTTGGCAATTTCAGGGACAAGTGGATCGTCAGGATTGGGATCAGTCAGCATTGAACAAATTGACAGCAAAACTGAGACGAGAAAAAAATATATAAACAGCCAAAATATTTAAAAGTACATTCGAAGTTTAATTTTCTAGAAGTCTCATAATACCTTTACTGATTGTTAGTGCAGGTGACCATTGTGATCTTAAAATATCTAAGCATATACTTCCATTGCTATTTATGTTTGGATGGTATATTCGCGTTGTAAAAGCAACCTGATGGAATTAAAAATTTAATCATGAAGAATTAATTCTTTTAAACATTTACTATAAAATTTTAATCTTGTTGATCTGACAAAAACCAGTGAAGGATGACAAATGACCTTTGGAGGCTTGAAAGGGTAATCTGTAGGAAAATGAATTGTAAGGAAAAAAACACCTCCTTGATATGGGCTGTCAGGCTGTTTGTTAAATTTTAAGAAGTGAGATTACTTTAATATTTAATATAAAAATCTTAACAGATTTTAAAACATTTTTAATTGATGGTAAATAATATTGAACAAAATTTTCAGAAAAGTTAGATTGGCATTACTAACTGGTCCCATTATCGATGCTTGCCATTGAAATACTGAAAGTAAAAACAAGTTGAAGTAACAAACACTAAAAAAAACTAACAAAAATAAAAAGTATAATAAGTCACAGGGAATAGCAGGAGAACAAACTTACAATCATCACCAACAGGCCCAGCGGAACAACCACAAGGAGGATCCTTTGTCATGTCCTGTAATTCCTTTATTTAATATTTAATTGAATTGAGTAAAACAATTTCAAATCTCAAAGAAACAATTTCAAATATCAAAGTTAAATAAACCTTCTTACAATAATTTATTTTATAAACAATGTGTTTGAAATTTATGAAAATTAAATTCGAAAGTAAAAAAACCCAAACTTAATTTTAACATCAACATGATTATTATTATTATCATATAGAGAGACATATATACATTATAAAAATAGACCAAACAAGAAGACCTAACAATTTTCTTAAAAATTTTCAGTAACTAAATAGATAAATGCGGATAATTTAGAAAAAACTTTGTGATAACAGTTGAAAATATAATAAAAATTAAAAAATGTGGTTTATTTTGGTTTTGTTTAAAATTCCCTTCAAAATATTGGTTACGAAGTATAAGAGACAATAAACAAACTTTATTTATTCTTTTTAGAGCCATTACAATTATTAACAAATATATTTAAATCACTTAATTATTAAATTAAGTTATAAACCAAGTTGAATTTGTAAACGGTCTAACGACTTAAAATTTTTTGTGAGGAATATTTGGTGAATGGCTGATAACGAAAGACTGTGAATAAGCATAACGACGTAATTTTAAATTAATATATTGGAAAAAAACCAATGCATTAATATGCAATTATTTTTAACAAATATCACTTTTATAAGTTTAATCATATGTTTTTATGCTTGTGAGTTTGTTTTAATATAAACTTTCAAAGCCAATATACACAAAATTAAAAATTCCTAAGAATAATCAATCATTGAATGTTTCACCAACAAATGGTTAAAAAGACACAAAAACTGCTAAAAGATCATTCAAAAAAAACATTACAAATCATTACAGAATAGTGGCTTCATGGTTTTAAGTGATGTTTTATTGTTAACAAATCATCAAATGCTTATTCTCAAAAGTAATATTCACACGTCCCACCACATCGATGCCATGGGAAAACATTATCAAACTTAGAATCCGTGTTGGATGACTTCAGGCTGGTTTCAGACAAACTGGGCAACATTTTTAAAATATGATCTTGCAAATAAAAATACCTTGAAAGGAGCAAACCACCGCTGGTACCTTATTCAATCTGAACATCAAAACTGATACTTTAATGAAAGTTCTTTTATCAACAATTATAATCAGTTTATCTCATTATCAAGATTGATGTTATAACGTAATAAGAGATATTCCTTTACAACCGCAAAGTACAACCATAGCAGAATGATTTCAAATGACTGTAGAAATGTAAAGGACATGTCGTAGACCATAAAAAAATGTCGATTCGTGATTGGAGGAGCACAAGTAGCTACCATGGTCTACAGTGTCGAGTCGATATGTCCATTCAATGAACTTGGCATTTTTTTCTTTTTCTTTCTTTTTTTTTATCTGAACTAGCCTTCAGTTGAGAACGGTTCAATGTAGTGATTCACTGGTAAATTTGAATTAAAAATGGTTCTCAATTTAGAAATTGTCAAGTTGTAATTATATTGTTATTAGCATATGTACATATGAGATAATAATGTGGATTATACACATTATCACATATTCTTATCACATATACGTATGGTAAATTAAAAGAAAATAAACTCCAATCTTCGTTGTTGTCATCCTCATCGTCGTCGTCGTCGTTATCATCAAACAAATAGTTAATATGATTCGTGAATTCAATATATTGCAGTTGTGCGGCTTAAAGAGAGAATGTTATAATAGCAAAATCGATGTTACAATTTCGAAACGTCGTGTTAATGTAACAACCAGAGATGCAAGCTGAATTGATTTTGATTGTTTTTTTTTCAAACATCGAGAGAATGCGAAAGTTTATGGTTGTCGTCAATTGATTCTTTGCATATATTTATCTTTGCCATTATCGCGCTTACAAGAAGGTAAAGTAGAACAGCCAGCCAGCGTACGAGCAGTAAATCTTACAGGCTTAAAAAACATTTAATGAGTTTAAATAAGGGCCATTATCGCACTTCAAACAGAGTCCTCAAATTATCCAAAGTCTTCATCATTGTTCTTGTCATGCATGTTTTATCTAATAAATGCTACAATTTGAAGGGCTTCGTTTAAAATATCTTCTTTTAATTTTTTTTCCTTATTCATCATATGTTATTAGAATGAGACTTTATTAATATCTTAATAAGCTGTCAGCCGTCGTTGCTATTAACTGAACGGCTGTTTAAAATCTATTGTTAATTTTGCGTGGTGTTTCATTTGGTAGACGATAACCCAAAGTCCGATCAACTTCAATAATTTTATTCACAAAGTTCGTAAGTTGACAAGCATCACATCTATGTAACCATCGGTTTAAATTCGTCACGTTTAAAAATTTCGACAATATTCACTTTATGAACATAAAGTGATTATTGTCGTTATATAATATATAACATCGTTATGAACATTTAATGAGTTAAAAATGGTAAATTATGTGTTACAAACTCATTTGAAAATTTCTGACACTTCTAACAAAGAGTTTGCTGTTTTGTAGTAGGTATGAGTGAAGCCTTCATCCATTCAATCATTTCAAGTATTTATCTGCCAACGTTTTTTAAGTCTGTAAGATTTATTGCTCGTACGCTGGCTGGCTGTTCTTATTTATCTTCCCGTTTAATTGATTCGCTGCTGAAAATACTCAACTGGCTTTTTGTTATGAGAAAATAAAATAATGTACATATTGAAATTTAACTGACAAGCAAACAAGTTTTTCAAAATAAATAAGTTCTTTCGCATAAATAACTGTTTCAACGAAAGATTCAAAAAATGATTTGATTCTAAATAACAATGAAACCAATTTTACAAAAATTGTCCGCTATTTAACGGAAAATGTGAAATTTCCCAAAGGACCTGATGCGAATAAATAGTTTAGCTGCCAATTTAGCGCCTCTACAAGGGATAAATAATATAACGGCTGTGTACTTTCTCTCGTCTCGCGAGGCGTTAAAACAGAGACGTGCCGATTAGCACACACAAACTCACACGCGCACACGCAAACACACGCACAAACAAAATCGAACATGTTTTCACATGAAAGCACTCAAGTTCTCACACACACATTAAAGATATAAAGTAGCTTAAAGAGTTGAAACACTGTGTGAACTGTATTTTTAATTCATCCCTATTGATTTGAAAGATACTGTTTGCAGGTTTGTATACATGAGTTTGTGTGTGTGCTCGTGTCTGTGAGCATGTTTGTTTGTATGTCTCTAGTTGTATGTTTTTGTGCGTATGTCTGTTTGAATGCACGGTAATATATGTATGCACGCACATGTTTAATAAATGTTTGTATGCTTGTATGTGTTAGTATGTATGTTCACGTCTGTATGCGTATGTATATGTATGTGAGTGTGCATATGTTTTTGTTTGGTTTTGTGTGTCTGTTGAAATTGTTTTAGTAGTTATGTTCTGAAACATTCGAATGCTGTAAGGCTTCATAAATGGATGGGTGAACTAACCTTTTCGATGCTTACTTTTGACACGAACAACATGCAACTCTGAACTAAACTATTTGCACGTACTTAACTCAAACATAAAATAAAACGTTCCAATAGATGAATGAATGAATGAGTGAATGAATTAATGAATTAATTAATGAATTAATTAATGAATTAATGAACAGACAAGCAAATGGAAAAATGAATTTAGGAGTGAATAAATAAACAAATGATTGAATGAATATAAACATATGAAAATATATTTTTGCATGTGAATTGATATTTGTTACATTTAATTTAAGAAAAGAATATAAAAAAAAGCAATGGAAACAAAATAATGTTTAACTAGAAAAATACTTATCACACACATACACACAAACTACATACATACACACACACATCCACAAAACTACATTCAAACACAAATAAAATCAAGAAAACAAACCGCAAACACGAACTAACATGCAACCAAGTACATATACAATTTTCATTATATTAACCACACAAACTACACAAACCACACACAAAACCACATAGAGACACACACACAAACACATTCAAACACACACACACACAAACAAGCGCAGACATACATACATAATCACACACACACAACACACATACACACCCACACACGTAGAAACAGACTTATTTCATTAAACATGCCTGCAGTCAATTATATTTTTATGATGCTTCAGATGAATTAACAAAACTTTTCTGAACACGGCAAATATCACGTGGTTATTAAATAGGGCTTATACTCGTATGTAGGAATATATATATATATATATATATATATATATATATATATATATATATATATATATATATATATATTTATATATATATATATATGCATGCAAATATGTGTATATGATATGCAGCGCAAAATCATAACAATATTTATTGCAGTCAGTGCACGGTAAACTGATCGTTTGTGGAGAAAGGAATTTTTCGCGCGCTCCAGAAAAAATCAACACCAAACAGCAATTACTACGTCTGTACGTTCGTGTTCATCAATTCTTATAGTATAATTATTTACTTACATATGACACGGTTGAAGATTGCTTCATCTTACTGTTCCAGTTAAGTTTGGAAGGGTTTAGCTTGGTTAGTACAACGATTGGGAAACTTATTTGTTAGTTTAAAAAACTTTAATTCATTTCGTAGATACATTGGTTATATAATAACATTTATTAGATTTGAACGACTTTTTGCACCTTTAAATAAATTTTGCTTTAGTGTTTTTTATTGAAGAAAACATTTGCAAAGCCAAAGGTTATGCGCCACTACACGCGCACGCGCACACGCACACACACACTCTCTCTCACTCGCTCACACACACACACAAACATATTATTGTAACTTTATCCAGTTTCAACTCATTTCACTATCGTAATTAAATTTATTATTCTTCAAACGATTCTCTCTTATCACTCTAATTAGCTAACCACCTTGCAACTGTTTGTTTGTTTGCTAACTCTCGAACTCCTCACATCTCAACTTTTACACATTCTTATCAACACGCTTTCAATATTTCAACTAAAATATTTAGCCAATATGTAGTTAAATGAAATTTATCCATTTGATAATTTGATAAACTGAGTTCTAGGAAAAATTCATTTATCGAAGGTTTCATGAAAAAAAATATTCATTAAATGTTGTTTTATTTTCACAGATTTTATTTTCAATACACTCAAAAACAAAATATTTAATAATGAAAATAAAATATTAATAAATTAACTCTTTTGTTATTCAATTAACTAATTTAATAGATAAATAGATAATTGATCAATTATATAACAGAATAATCATTGAAACGCAATCAATCTCCAGTAGCAAGAAAGCGATAAAGATCAAAAGTTGCATCTATCCATCAGGCAGTCAATCGTTAAATCGATGGATCATGAAACGGAAATTCGATCATGCAAAGTCGCGTCAGGCACAACGAAAAAGTTGATGGTCATCCTCTGCCTCCTCCTCTTCATCTGTCTCATCATCTTCATCATCCTCTTCTCACTAAGTGCCAACAAACTCGCCGGTGGTTAAGTCATTTTTTTTTAGTTTTTTCAAATCTTTTTATACAAGCTAATGGTTTTGAGTGTTTATTTTGCTTGTTGGTACTAGGTGTAAACTAAATTCTGGAGGTAAAATAATTAGAAATGTTATAAGAGTTTATGATTTTACTCGTATTTAATAAATACATATATGTGTGACACTACTTTTCAGACATAATGAATGTCTGTTTCGCCCAAAAAGGTGGAAGCTGATTAACTGATCACATTAACGATTGCATTTTTGAAATTTTTATACCAACTTTTATGCCACTGTCAACAAAACAATAAGTCGAGACTTTTGTTTTCACATAAAATTAATTAGCCCCTTTTATGAAAATTTTTTGATTTGTCACATAAAATTTTCCAAATTGCTCATTTCATATCTCAAAACGCTATCAGGCAAAAATGAGAGAAAATGACGGATGAGTTACAAATATTTTAACATAATATTTGAATAAATAATTAATTATGAATAAGCTTTAAGAAAATTATACCATAATAACATAAAAATTTAAATTATAAATCAATATTTTTCGTCTTATTGCGCAAAGCAAGCTAACTTTTAGAAGAAATATTTTTAAGCGAGTATAATCAATCTTACTTACATAAGAACATCAGACTTGCCCACACACAGCGTTTTGATACTTAAGTATTTATTACACAAAATGTTCTAAAAATATCTTCGTTATACAAAAATTCCTTTGCGTCTGCGTTCAATTGTTTTTAAATTAAAACAATCCATCTTACCCAACCTTGTATGAACTGATGAAATATTATTATATTTAATATGCCCGTCTCTTATTGTTCATGGTTTTTTAAAATTGCCAAATAAATTAGAATAAATAAACAATTGTATGAAATAAAGACACACTTGTACTCATACACACACATCAACACATACACACACATCAACACATACACAGACACACAACACATACATGCACAACACACATACACACACAACACATATACACACACACGAACTAACGAACGAAAAAATTTGAATCATCATATTTGTTTATAGTATCAATATAAACGACAAGCAAGATCTTGTTAGTTGACATAAATATCAAATATACCCCAAATCAAACGTACAGTCAAGTTTTCTAAACAACGTAAATTCTTTTTTTAACAACAAATTTTGTGTATCGATCTTAAAATGAGTAATTAATTAACTAATTATTCAATAATAAATAATTTGAATATTAATTAATTATTGATAATTACTTAATAATAAAGTTAATAATGTTCTTTTAACCACAATACTACACTAGTTACGTGACAACATAACTACCCCCCATACAGACACACTTCAACGTTAACATCCAGCAATCATTAAAAAATTATTTTCTAGCAATTGAATGAAACATTGTGATAATAAATTACTAATATTATGATAATAATAATAATAATAATAGAAGTAAAAGTAGTAGTATATTAGTAGTCGTCTTAGTAGAAGTAGCAGCAGTGGCAGTAGTAGTATCTGTAGTAGTAGTAGTAGTAGTAGTAGTAGCAGCAGCAGTAGCAGCAACAGCAGCAGCAGTAGCAGCAACAGCAGCAGCAGCAGCAGCAGTAGTAGTAGCAGTAATAGTAGTAGTCGTAGTAGTAGTAGTAGTAGTAGTAGTAGTAGTAGCAGTAGTAGTAGTAGCAGAAGCAATAATAATACTAATAAAAATAATACTATTATTATAGTTATATACTTAGCCAAATTTTGTTTTTCTTACTAAGAAAAATCAATCATGTATTTATACTGTTATAAATTAGCTGCCTGTAGGATATCACCGACTAACGTTTAATTACAAATGGAAATTATATAAAATTCTATTTCATTAACTCTATTATTTGTTATTTTAAATGGTTATAAACTATAAAAAAAACAAACTTAAAACTTGAAGTAGTATAATGAAAGAGAGAGAGAGAGAGAGAGAGAGAGAGAGATTGATTGTATGTAAAGATTGAATGTTATAGAAGCAGCTTCGTATGCAGAATTGTTTGATCTCACTCAATTAAATCTTTTATGATTTATTTTTTATTTTGATCATCCTTTCATCAGCGCATTTGAACTTCGAGTCTAATGAATGAGTGAAAGAACGAACAAAAAAATGAAATATAAATGAATGGATGGATGGACAGATGGGTAGATAATGAATGAATGAATTAATGAATGATTTAACGAATAAACAATTCAAAAACCGAATAGAAACATTTTGAATAATAGAAATAAAAAAATTTAATTGAAGCGTACGTTTTAAAATGAATAAATTTGAAAAGTTTCGTTTTTAGATTTGAAAAACTATAAAAAACAAACAATGATCGTCTACATCAGAGCATGTGTGTTGCAAATCAGCTAATTCCCATAAACTGGGAACGTTTTTGCTTAATATTCTTTCTTCTTACTTTAAAAAATTAAAAGAAATTCGCGCAGATGTTTAAAGTTACAGAATGTGTTTGAACTGAAGTTTTTAAAAATTTGTCACATAATGTTAAATTAGCATGGCAAGTTATTAGGATGCAAAACAATTGAGTCTTCATCATGGTTGAGATACGACTCGCTTTTCTCTACCATATGATTTTAATGTGATTTATGTACTTGCCGTCATTCAGTAGTGAATATTATGTAACAATTAATACTTTTTTTTTCAATTTATAACTTTTTTGTTCTTTATTTTTTTGTCCAAAATTGTTCATAAACTATTAAATCGTTGATATTTTAACTTTACCAGCCACTTCCAATGTATGTCTGAGTGAGGATTGCGTTCTGCTATGTGAGTGATCGACGCGTTTCTATATTATTTTTTTATCACTTTCAGTGTAGGAATTAAACTATAGTACTTGCATTATTTAACGTTGACTTAGAGTCATATATTTAAATCACTCTTGATTAATATACATCTTTTACTAAATATAATATATAATGTATAAAACGTCAATATTCTTTTGCTTTCAAGTAGTAAAGCTTATAATGTAAAAACCATAAAAAGCAATTTTAGTCTTTTAGTCCATAAATTAATATTTAATTTAATTAAATTAAAAAAAAATTAAATAATAAAAAATTTTTCTTAAAATCAGCCGCGGAGTTGTTGAGTAGTTTAGACAAGACAGTGAATCCGTGCGATGACTTCTATCAGTACGTTTGCGGCAAGAGGATGCGAATGCTGACCATTCCAGAGGATCAGAATAGCTTCACAATATTCGGCAAACTCGGAGATATTACAATTAAAAAACTTAATAGTAAGATTCCTGAAAACTGTGTTAATTAATTAATTACTTAATTAATTAATAGTTACTTTAATAACAAACCCGTCAATATATATAATTATGAAAAATATTTAAATTTGGTAATATTTGATAAAAACATTTTTACAACAAACCAAAACAGAATTATTAGAAGTAGAAAACGATTCCGAAGTGACTTCCATAAAGTCTGCCAAGGTGTTCTACAGATCCTGTCTGAATGAAAGTTAATAACATTCACGTTACACAAATCAGTCGTTTATTAATAAAATCAAATAAGAGATCGTTTAACGTTCACTCACTTTCACTGTTTTCCACGTTGTCACTATCTATATCATGCACTGTATCATCATCAGCATGGTCGTTATCAATCCATCATCACCATCACCATCATCATCATCTTCCTCATGGTCATCACACAGGTCAGTTCGAGAGTGAAGGCATCAAGCCATTCTTGGACTTGCTGGCGAGTGTTGGAAGCTGTGCATTCCTGAACGAGACGTGGAAGGAAGAGGAGTGGCTGATTGAAAGAGTCCTCGCGTTAACAAGAGTTCAACTGGACATCAACATTCTCCTCGATACAAATGTTTATCCTGATGATAAAAATTCTACACACAATGCACTCGGCGTGAGATTTTTTTGAGTGACTTGTTTAATTTTTTTTTAGATGTGTTGTATAGTATCATACGAGTGCACCATTGAATATAAAATATGCAGTAGCCAATTATATCGTAGCTAATTACATAGTTTCGATGTAATGTTGAATATTTAAAAAATTTACTCTGCAAGAAATTTTTATTTTATTTTTTAATGGTAGCGCACAACATGACAAACCTGCCAACGTGAAGCAGACTTCTAAATTGTTTATATTTTTGTGCTGACAGATCGCATATAGTTGTCTTGTCTAACGCTCATAACTGTCGACGACCTAATAGAGAACAATTATCTTCATTCCTCCAAACTTTTGAGTTGTGCTTGAATGTTGTTGTCTATTTTGCTACAGTTGTTTGTGCGGAGTTGTACAAACTTAGAAGGATAAATAGCAAAACGCATAATTTTAAATTTTAATTGAGGATTCAGTAGACCAAAAATATAAAGTAAAAATTTTCAAAATAAAAAATTTGTTTTTTGTTTCAGTTAGACCAGGACATGTTGGAGCTCCAGCAAGAAGAATATTTTGGCAACAGCTCAAAGGTTCGTCAGTCTTATGAAACATTTTTGCTGAAGGTGATGACGAAGTTGAAAGGGGAAGGCGACGAAACAAAAACAAACCATACATTACTTGAGGTACTTGAGTTTGAGAAAAAACTTTCCAACGTGAGTACGTCTTATTAAATCATGTTGCAACATTCATTTTTTTTTAATTTTTTATGTTTTTAAAAAATTTCAAAAATTCACTTTCATATTAACTCGTTTGCGAATTAACCAAAACATTTGAATTAATTTAAAACATTTTTTAAACGTCAACATTAATAATTTAACCAAATAAAAACCAATTTTTTAAATATATTTTGCAATGTTTTAAATTTATGAACATTTGGTAAAATTAAAAATTTAATAACATTAAAAAGCACGCCAAAGTATAAGCAGTATTATATTAAATTGCATTAAACTTAAAAATTTCTTTAAGGTAACGGGACCGTTGCGAGATAGAATGCAGCCAGAATATTACAAGAAGATAACCGTTGGATACCTTAACAATCTGACTAATCACGTTAGTAAGGTTTGACCGCACTGCTATAACATTAGGATATATGCGTGTAGTATCACATTGCATCACGTTTCTTCAAGTTACATCAATTCTTATTAAGTTACATCAATTCTCATTAAGTTACATCAAATCACATTATAAATTATAACGTCTGACGAGATGACATTAATAGTCAAAGTACTTGGCTGAACTCTTGTTTAATGTAACTTGGATCAAGGGGTGGAAATATGGATATCTTGCGTATCGAAAGATGATAGATTCTTGAATTTTATATTAACAATTTGGTATGTAATTTAGAGTAAATTTAATGTGATATATCAAAAAATAAATATAAATTTTTGGATTTAATTATTTTTTTGATATACAACTTTATTTAAATTTCAGTTCAACTGGACAAAGTACTTCAACACTATACAAAAAGATTTAGGGGCGGATGATACTGAGGTGATAACATACTCTCTGGACTATATCATCGCACTGTCGGAACTCATCAGCAAAACCGATAAGAAGTAGGAACGCGAAAATGAATTTGAAAAATTCAAATATAACTTCAATTTTATTTTGTTGACCTGCAGATTCGTAGTTTAAAATGTTTCAATATTTATGAAGTATTTTATGAGATAGATGTGCAGTACAAAAAGCCAGCAAGCCAGCCAGTTTACTTTTAGGTTAAGAAAAGTTGAGGATCATTATTTCTCAACAAAAACCAAAATCAATTTGTGACGCCAAAAATTTTTTTTAACGATTTTAGGCTCTATGGATTTTATTCAATTGTTTGTTTCCTTGTTAGTTTTTATAAAAATCAAGAAAATTTTTATTTCATTTCAGTAGGAAAAAAATTTTCATCAATAAATAAAATTGTAAAATGAATAAAATGTTTATTTTCTTCCAACTAAGAACCTTGTCGAACTTCATAGCATGGTCAATCGTACGGCACTTCACTCGAGTTACCGGCCTGCCAGGTTTTCAAACAATCATCAGCGACTACAGAAAGGCTAAATCGGTTCGTTTTCATTGTGTGGTCATTTTTTTAAATTTCTCAATCAATTCTTCAAAATGGTCTGCTTGACTCGCTTGGTTTTAGTTGATGTTTTTAATGTCGTTTTCAATTACAATGTTTTGGATATATTAACTAACAGACCTTCAACTTGTATAATTACCAAACAACCAACCAACCAACCAACCAACCAACCAACTAACCAACCAACCAACCAACCAACCGACCGACCAGCCAACCAAAAAACAACCTTAATAACCACCGCAACCACAACTACCACAACTACTACAAAACGACAACAGGGAGTATTAGTAGATCAACCCCGCACTACCAAATGTACGGACCTGACCAGCGAGAAGTTCAGTCAGCCAGTTACGAGGTTGTACGTTGAAACTAATTTCAAACAGGAGGACAAACGTTACGTGAGTTAGGAATTTTGTAGTTGATGAGAAAAGATGATGACGACGTTGATTGCGATGAAAGTAATGATGAAGAAGATGATGATGGTGGTCCCAGTCATCAGCATTTCCATTTTTATTAATGTTCTCACAATCGTCATAATCATCATCGTTACTGTCAATTAACATCATTGTCATCATCATAACCATCGTCATTGCCATTGTAATTAATGCTATCATCATCATCATCATCATCATCATCATCATCATCATCATCATCATCATCATCATCATCATCATCATCATCATCGTTACTGTCGATTATCATTACCGAAAACAATATTTGATGGCATCACTATCAGTAACTCCATCATCATCATCATCTTCCTCTTCATCATCATCATAATAAATAAATTAATTAAAATAAATTATTTACTGATTATCATAAAATATGATAATTATCTTAATTAATTATTAAATTAATAAATTAATTAATTCTTATTTTTAGGCATCGGATCTGATAAAGAGGGTCCGGGAAGAGTTCATAAACCTGCTGAAGAAGAATGAGTGGATGGACGAAGAAACACGCCAGTACGCAATCATGAAGGTGAAACTAACAACCACATCTCATTATATAATCGCGATAGAACCATTTTACAAATTAAATATTATAAAATTATTTCTTTTTATTTAACTATATTTAAATGTAAGAAATCATATTTCGGAGTCTAAAATTATTAACCCAGGCTAAAGCTATAGTCGAGAGGATAGGATATTCTGATCATGTCCTTAACGATACAGTACTGAACAATCTTTTTGACGGGGTAACAATTATCATTATATTGATATTTATTTATTTGTCGTGTATTCATTCATTTATCTTATGAATTTATTCATTGCGTGGTTTGTATTTTCTATATAGCTGACTATAAATTCTGTTATCTGCATACTCTCTGTTTAATTTTGTGTAATTTTTTGTTGACAAGTCGTGTCTATAAAATATTGGTCATGTGATTCTGAAATGTGACTTTACAGTTTATGGTTTAGTTGCGCTGGAATGTTAATTTGAATCTGAATAACATTTAAAAAAATGTATAGTTTAAGTATTACAAAAACTGCCTGTCTCTCTTTGTTGGTCTCTCTCTCTCTACCCGCTGTCTTTCTTTCTCCTTTCTTTTTTTTCCTCTCTCTTTCCTTTCTCTCATTTTTTCACAAAATAAAACGTTTCAAAACAACGAAACAATGCAGCTTGTGATAAAAGAGAACAAATTTTTGGAAAACCTGCTAAACGTGAAACATTTCCAAGCAAAAGCCATGTTCAAAAGTTACGGTACAATCGTCAGCAAAGATGAGTGAGTTTTTTTTCTATAGAATTTCACAGCTCTGATACAGAGTTTGATAACTTTTATAACATTTAAATGAGTTAATTTGTTGAAATTACTAAAAATATTAAATATTCAAGTGTTTTTATTTTATAATAATATTTTAATTACTCAAACAAAACAGATGGGACCAGATTCCAGCTCAGGTCAATGCGTACTACGATCCAACTCTTAATGAGATTAGTACGTAATCTTCAACTTATCACCAAAATTTAAATTTTTGATCATAAATATTTCAACGTCAAAATAAGGAATTAATAAAATCCAACAAAATTATTGTCAGTAAGTTGGAATATTCGAATGATTTTTCAGTGTTTCCGGCTTCAATCTTCCAGCCGACATTCTTCAGCCACATTTATCCAAGGTCTCGTTTGTCAATTTATCTTTACTAACCATTTCTATCGATATTTTCCCGTAACCCTTTAAATAATGATACAAACTGCAATTTTTCTAATTTCTTTCATAACAAATTTATTATTTATAATGATCAGAATTGAAATAGAAGGTAAGCAAACATCACACACGACATCACATAAGACATCAGATACAACATCGCGTACAAAATCACACAGATCAATGAACTATGGAGGAATTGGAATGGCTATCGGACACGAGATAATACACGGATTTGATAATAAAGGTTTGCAATGTATCTCTTCTTTGTGAACAGTTATTTTGCGTATGTTAAAAATTCTTCGTTTATATATTAGTTGATTTAACTAAAAAGAAAAAGTTCAAATTTGAGAAATTTTTAAAACTTGAATAACTTTACTGAAATTAAATTTGGATGATAAACACAAACACACCATCGCACAAAGATCTGTTTTCGTAGCATTGTTTAAATTGATTTTGCACTTGAGAGATGCTGAATTATTTGTTGTGTGCACTTATGAAGGGAAATGCCACGACGAGAAGGGCAACCTAAAGGACTGGTGGGACCCTAGCACCGAGGCTTCCTTCCAAGAGAGGGCAGACTGCATGATCAACCAGTACAACCAGTTCGAAATTAAACAACTCAACCTCACTGTTCGCTTTTTTATTTCTCAATTTTGTTCGTGTGCCATTTGTGTGTGTGTGTTCGTTACATTTCTGTGAGTTACTTTTCAAATGGGACGTTGCCAGAATGTTTGCTTTTGTGTCCTGTTTAATGGAGGGACGGCATCTATATTTCAAATTCACTTTCAAACAGTTGGACGGAAACTTGACGTTGGGAGAAAACATTGCAGACAACGGAGGATTGAAATCTTCATACCTCGTCAGGATTTTTCTTCTTACCCAATTTTGAACTTCGTTTTAAAATGACTTCTTTTTATGGCTTTAAAGAATCACACTTATAATAAAATTTCAACTTGAAATAATTGTTTTTATAAAATTAAATTTCAAAAATCATCCCAAATTAAACCGCAAAACCTTCGAATTGAACGCAGGCATACCAAAGATGGGTGAAGGAGAATGGGGAGGAGCCCTCACTGCCTGGTCTCAACTTCACCCACAACCAACTGCTCTTCGTCAATTATGCTCAAGTAAGTTTCAAAACCTTATCCATAACCTTACCTACAAATATTGTGAAAGAATGTGTTAATATATTTCTAATTTTTAAAAATTTACACTTTGAAACGTCAGTTTTACTATCATAAATTTACACTTTGAAACGTCAGTTTTACTATTTGACCTCTTTAGTATTCTAATGTTATTTCACAATTCACATTCTTTTTCTCTCTTACTCTTATTCTTCGTGTTATTAAATTTCATTTTATTGATATAAAATGATTTAAAATACAACAAAACAACACCCCCGACCGTAACAAGATATGGTGTGAGTTGCGGAGAGACGAAGATGCACTCAAGCGCAGTAAATTATCTCCACATCCTCCTGGAGAAGCTAGGTAACTACACGCACGCACGCACACGCACACACACACGCACTTTAACACACACACGTACCTACGTACTTACGAAAAACCGCATACACATTTAGATATGCTTATCTTTACAATATTCTATAAATTCTACCGAATGTTTGGCGTTAATATGTTTGTAGTTCGTTTTTTCGATTTTTCTCACTAAAGTTTTTTGGTGAACGTTTAGTTTATTAAAATCAAAATA